ATTTAAAGAAAATGGGAATTTGTAATATCATCTCAGTTATGCTGCCATAAAACTAATATCAATTTCATAAAAACACAGCTGGTTCACTAATGTACATGATCTTTACGCGGTCTGGCCTATATGAGACTCCAGAGCTACAGGTAATGTAGTTGACTCTTAACTGACCTCTGAAATGGCCAGCTAGTCATTCAATTCAAGGGCAGTTAGGAATGGGGAATAAATGCTTAATCAACTATGCCAAGTGTGGTGTTACAGAGAAGAAAACAAAGTCCTACCAGACATTAATTTAGAGTCTTTAAATTACATTGGCTACAGAGATAGCCTGTTGTTAATAAGGCTCCAGATGCTCTTCATGAAAAGATGCCTAACTGCTGGACATTCTTATTTTAAAGAAAGTATACAAAATGAAATGTTGACGCATTACACAGAATACTAAAATCTTGTAAGAACTCGAGTCAGAGATAATAGGAACTGCAGATGCTGGAGAATCCGAAACAACAAGGTGCAGGGCTGGATGAACACAGCAGGCCAAGCAGCATTATAGGAGCAGAAAGGCTGACGTTTTGGGCCTAGACCCTTCATCGGAAAAGGGGGAGGGGAAGGGGGTTCTGAAATAAGTAGGGAAAGAATGGGAGGCGGATAGAAGATGGATAGAGGAGAGGATAGGTGGAGAGGAAACAAACAGGTCGAAGAGGCGGGGATGGGGCCAGTAAAGGTGAGTGTAGGTGGGGAGTTAGGGAGGGGATAGGTCAGTCCAGGGAGGACAGACAGGTCAAGGGGGCGGGATGAGGTTAGTCGGCAGGAGATGGGGGTGTGGCTTGAGGTAGGAGGAGGGGATAGGTGGGAGGAAGAACAGGTTAGGGAGGCAGGGACGAGCTGGACTGGTTTTGGGATGCGGTAGGGGGAGGGGAGATTTTGAAGCTTGTGAAATCCTACCGCAGTGGGGGTACATTTAGGATACAATGATCACTCTATGATAAGTTTCAGGATAGTGGTGGAAAATGATGTGCATTGATCCAAACTAAGAAAAGTACGTTGGCAGAGAGCTGACTGCAATGAGGCAAAAGCAGAGCTGGGCAGGATTGATTGGAACAAGACTTTGGTGGGATAAACAGTAACTGAATAATGGTCTACTTTCAAAGAGCAGATGGTTCGGGCACAGTCGAGATATATTTCATTAAATGGGAAAGGTAGGTCAAACAAATCCAGAGATTGCTGGATAACAAAGGACGTAGAAATTAACATTAGAAAGAAAAAGTGTGCTTATGACAGATGTAAAGCAAAAAATGCATTTGAGAACCAAGAGGAATACTGAAGGTTTAGACTGGAAGTGAAAAAGTGAATAACAGAAGCAAAGATGAATTATGAGAAGAGACCAGCAGCTAACATGATGGGCAATTCCAAGCTTGTTGATAAGCATATAAGTAGCAAACAATGACTAAAGGAGAAGCCAATTAAAGACAAAAAAAAACCTGGCTTTTACACATGGGGTCGGGGGAATGACTAAGATTTTAAACAAATAGTTTATATCTGTTTTTACAAGAGAATGCTGCCCCCAGCCAACATGCTAGAGGTGAAAAATGAAACACCCATCCAAGAAGAATACCCAGTGCTGCTTCTTGACCCTTGGAATACATTTTCTTCTATAAAAAAATCCCAGCCCCTTGATCAATACCAAGAATGACAGGATCAACAACAGATGGGACACTATCATCTCCAAAACACGTCTAACTTGACTTTGCCAGTTTTCATCTATTCTGGATCCAATCCTTGGAATTCCTTACCTAATATCATTGAATGGTCACCTTCATCACAAACACCAATAATTTGCATCTATATTGCACTTTTAACATTGTAAAATGTGTCAAGGCACGTTTAACAAGTTTACCAAAGGACTACATACAGACATATTTGGACAGATCATCAAAAGCTAGGTCATGTAGCTGAATTTGTGGATTAGAGGTCAAATAGCGCAGAAACCTATGGAGAGAATTCCAGATCATAGGGCAAAGCTAGCTGACAGAACAGCTGCCAATGGTGGTGCAACATAATCGAGAATGCTCAAAAGACCAGAATTGGAGGAAGACAGATTTGCAAATAACAGTGAGAATTTTAAAATCAACGTACTCTCAGACCATCATCCTTTGCAACACCGTTGGGTGCAGGGAGAAATGGTGAAGGGGACTTGGTGTGAGTCAGGATATCGAAGGAGCCTTGCGTGCGCTCAAGTTAACAAACATATAAAATGGGAAGCCAGTCATGAGAATATTGGAGTAATTGCATTTTAGGTGACAAAGGCAACAGTGAAGATTTAACCAACAGATGCGTTAAATGGAGTAAACAGGTGATGTTATGGACAGAGAAGCAGGCAGTCTTAGACATGAATAGGATATAGAGCTGAAAGCTCAATAAATGTGGGTGGTTCAGCCACAGACAGTGTTGAAGGAGAGAGATGAACTTGGTGGCTTGAAGCTTGCAATGAGTAGAAAGATATTGACTTCAATCTTCCCAACAGTTGACTGGAGAAATTATCAGCTCATCTAATCCTGGTTATCAGAGATGCAGTGTCATAAATCAGATGCTGGGTGATTGGGCGGTAATAGTGACATTCTTTTCAATGATGTTCCTGAGGAGCAGCATGAAGATGAGAAGTATAAAAAGTTGAGAGACTCCAGGAGTAACGGTATGAATGCCTGAATATATGCCAATGCTGTTTAAGACAGTACTCACCACTTTCTGAGGGAACTATGGATGGGCAATAAATAAAAGTTTACTAATGCTGTCCATATATTGTGAATAAAAACAAAAGGTGATATTAGAAAATTGCTTTAATGACTTGTTACTGTCTCTAATGTTAAGAATAACAATATAAATAATATAAAAATGTTGTTCTGTTTTCTCAAACTCTTTAAAGTGAATTATTTTTATTTTACGATCAAAGTGTGCTCTACTTTCTGAACCATCCATTTACCTTAAATGCAGCTGAAATATATCTACTGCTGAAATACACTGGACTTTAACTAACAAATGTACACAACAATTATTTGCTACAATAAGTCATTGTACTCATCAAACATATTAGCAACAAGCATTCATTTAATAAAGATTAATAAAACAAAAAGTTATTGCAACCTGGAACCATTATCAATGACAAATGGCCACTGAAGGCTTAAATTTTACTCCCATTTTATTTTAAAGAGTGTATTTACACATCAACTTTAAAGCCCTATGAATCTGATGCCAGAACATGAGCACAAAAGCAGGCAAATAATCTGATTCCCGATTGCACATGGAATAGAGGATTTTAGATCCTTGGTACAAAGTAAAAATGGTCTCCAGCAGTTCAGTTTACATCTCCGTTTTGCTGTCAGGCAACTTTTATACATTCACAAACTCCTAACATCAGAGGAAAATTGCTTTCAGAACAACAAAATGTGAACAGTATGGATCAATCAGGAGCACTGATGAAAGGTTAACAAACTAAAACATTAGCTGTGTTTTTTCTCCACTGATACTCTGGGTCTATCGAGTGTTTCCAGACTTTTCTATTTTTATTTCAGGTACAAAAGGCCAGCAGCATGTGGAATAGTTTGCCTAGGCTATCTGTGTTTGAAGTGGCATTGCAATGGGAATACTCGTCCACTAGATATAACGGCTTGGGTTTTCTGAGAGCCAAATAGTTGTTATTTCAGTGTAGATGGGAGTTGTGCATGGGGACCCTGTAGAATCTCCATCATAGCAAACTCAGAGAATTGCTCAGGAAATTCAAGGCTCTGCTAAGAAAATCCTCTTGCCTGAAAACCCACCAGACGTCTCCATTTAAATCAGAGAAGTTGGACAGTTCTAATGAAAGTAGGAAATATTTATTCGATTGACCTCCAACATACCTGACATGACCTGACACTTCCAGGACCCAAAACCCCCACCCGATTTCAGACCAAACAACCCTTCACCTGCTCCAGACCAGATCATCCTTCCCCTGCTCTGGACCTGAATCCCGTCACTTTCCTCTACTCTGGACCTGCATCCTCCTTTCATCCACACGGGACATGATCCCCCAAACTCTGCTCCAGTTATAACACTTCCTTCCAACACTCAGGATCCTTACACTGCTCTCACCCGACTTCCATTTCTCCATCTTATTTACTCTAGACCTGCACCCCCTCTTCATCTGCTGTAGATACTCCCTCCCCTCTTCACCCTATAGAACTTGACACCCACCCCAGGCGATCATGGGACATAGACACCTCTTCCCTACATTTTTTCCCTGATCTGATACTTCATCCTCAAACTAACACTACCTGATGAGATATATCTCAACCAACCGTATCTACCATAAACACTGTATTACATACTTTGACATCTTGCACACTGGCACCCCATCCATCTAACACCCTCAGTGTTACCCATCTGGCACACTACACCATGACAATCTACATCCTACTCATTTGGCATCCAACCACTTGGCACCTACTCCCTACCCAGCTGGCAACCTACTTACCTGTCACCCTTCTCCCTACCCACCCAGCACCCTAACTTCACACTTACATCATGTACCTACTGTTTGACAGCAGCTGTCAGAGTGGCTGCCTGCAAATCTGGACCTTCAAATTTCAGGGTGCATCAGCTGACTCCTGTGAGAAAGGGGGTTGGTTTGCCTTCCTCTGACAATTCTGCATAGTGAAAGAACTTCAAAATGGAAGTACTGTGCCATATTTATGAAGGAACCCTGATCAGAGTCTCTTGTTAGAAACACAGAGCTCTCGCCTTTCATTTAAAAAAGGGGCAGAGTGACAATCTGCATGGGATTGCCATTCCCCAGAAAATCCTGTCCAACGTATTTTATTCTAATGCAGTTTGGAGAACCAGAGTATTGGGAATTTCACCAGAACTCATCAATAAAGGTAAACTAGTGCTCTACAAAATTGCGATTACTCCACTTCAAAATACACAGTACTTAAAAGGAAGTAAAATATGTTTTATATACAGTGAAATCTAACCTGAATGAGGTATGCCGGTACAGTAATAATGCAGGCAGACAGAGATGTTCTGAGAAGTCCACGGAGTGCATACAGAAATTTGGTCAGACTGCAAGCATGTTTGGCATTTTCATGAAGACCAATGTCCTCTCCCCACAACAGTGAGCCAAGCGAATGGATTCCTACCCGCAGGATATTCCTCTGCTTAGTCTTCAGAAAGAGAAGTGAAAATGAATGTGACAAAACAGCAAGACTTTCTTATAAATGACACCCTTTCCACACTTCACGTACTAACTTACGAGAGCTATAACAGAAACAAAAATAGAAATTGCTGGAAAAGCTCAGCAGGTCTGGCAGCATCTGTGGAGAAAAATCAGAGTTAATGTTTTGGGTCCAGTGACCCTTCCTCCGCACTGTTCTTCCTACTACTTGGCATCAGTCCTGAGGAAGCGTGACTGGACCGGAAATATTAACCCTAATTTCTGTCCACAGATGCTGCCAGACCTGCTGAGCTTTTCCAGCAATTTCTGTTTATGTTTCTGATTTCTGCATCCACAGGTCTTTCGTTTTATTTTATAGAGCTATAACAGATATTGGACAGGTGACAAGACTCTGAATTTCTGTCTGGACTTGCTTTCCAGCTGCCCAACGGCTCATAAAGCAGCTTGTTTCCATGGCATATCAACAGGGAAAGATACCAGTAGGACCTTAATAAGTGCTACATTTTTGCAAAGGCTACATAGCTGCTAGCAAAGTGCCAAGAAAGGATCAGCGTATGCTCGGCTTCCAGCTGATTTGGGCCAAGATTCTGTTAACAAAAGCTGCCTGTGGTATCACAGTTTATTCATGCTAGCAAAATGGGTAGTTAATTCCACACTTTCACTTTCATAGAGAAACTTGTTGCTTAGACACAGAAAAAGTAACGTGTAAATTTTTGCTTTTTGATCATAAGCAACGAGTTGTGACAAAGAAACATAATACATTGTAGAATAGCACAGTAAGGTTAGGGTCAATTGAAGACAATGTATAAAGATTTGCAGCAAAAATATCAAGTTAAAAAAAACCTTATTGCAAAAGTCCTTTCAGTTAGAAGTGACTTAGTTGAAAGGCTCTTAAGGTGTATGTGTGTCACCACCAAATATGCTGTTGCTTTCTATAAGATTTCCTGTTTTAGAAGGCATGTCATCTTGCAGCAGAAGCAGCTAGGCACACTGTACTGTGGGAACTGTTATGACATGTCTATTGCCATGGTTACCACTGGGAAGGGGAGAGGTGCCTGTCAGGGACCAATTTACTTCTCCAAAGGGGTTTTGCCTCCACAGGGAAAGACAGCCTGTCCAGATCTGCGTCGAAATCTCAGTAGAGATTGTAGCTGAGCAATAACAAGCTAAATTAACATATAAGTAACATGAATACCAAAAGTTGCTATAAAGGATTTTTTCACTTTGACACCAAGCCTTAGTTAACTTCGTTAACACCATTGCAAAGTTGACTGCACAAGCTCCTTAAAACTCTAATTAGATGATCTTTCCTTAGTTTCTCGTCACATATCCTCAAGGCTATAAGTTTTACAACAGAGATATTTTCATTGCAACATCAACATGAAAAGTTTAATGTGGCTTAATGTGGATTTGGGCTAAGCCACTTTCTCGACTGGACAGCTCCTTTTTAGGTGCTCAGTGACTAATGATGCCAGAGCACACTGCTTATGCACATCAATGCTTGTACCCAATTGAGTTGAGGAAAGCTCAAAACGTGAGGCAAATGCATATTAACATATGACCCATACACTGTCTTTGCAATGCTTGTTTACTTCATCCGTGCTTAGAAACAGCTTGTTCATTGTTGATTATTCCAAGCCCTTCCGGCTGCACCCTGGAGAGCCCTATGAAAACAACATTAGTTACTTGATTACATAAGACACTGAGGGCTTGTGCACCATACCTGGGGACAGACTCCATCAAATCCTTCCTCACGGATGACTCTTTGTATGGATTTAAGCAGCTTGACATAACCAAAGTTCATATTACTGTGAAAAAAAGAGGTGCGAAAAGTAAATCAATTAAAAAAAACTTCTGCACTCAATTGATAATTTTAAACATTTTATTTTGAAAAAGGGTCCTGAAATACATAACAAAACTGCACTTCCTTGATTAAAAAAAACAAAAATATTCTTATACTGTTCACCAAGTAACCCAAGTAAAATTTAATCTGAATTAGTACAAATGAATTTGCTTTTCCCTCGTTGAGAAACATTAAACTAAATACCAACACAGCTGAGGTTTAGTAAGTGTATGATGTGTGCAATAATATTTTGCTTGGGCTATGATCATACATGAAAAATGACTACGCCATTAGATGCAAATGAAAACGGAATACGTTGCGCTGACTTGATGTGAATCTATTCAAACAAATCAGCACAAAAGAGGAACTTTCAAAAAAAAAAAGGTTTTTCATAACATTTAGCCTCGTTGTAGAATATTTGTAGAAAGACAAATGCCTTAGGTTTTGAGTAAACCATGAGGAAACATGTTTTTTGCCCTCCAATAGATATATTAAATGCGAACTGGTGCACTGGCTCTACTTAAAAGCAGTAGTCTGAAGCCTAAACAAAACCTTAATTCCACTCTAAACTGCTTAAGTGAAAAGCAAAATTGAACTAATAAATTAAGTTCACAGCACAGTTGTATAAATAAAATGCGCCCTTGGAGATTGCAGTCATTCTCTTCCATTCACTACCTCTGTGACCTGACACAATATGAAAGGGATATTCTGCAGAGACAAGGATGCCTTAATTATGTCAGACTCACTTAGCTCCTAGAAAATTAATGATTTAATGAAGCAACTTAAGAGATGAAACCACCACAGCATTTCTGTGCTAAATCATAGATTAATTAACATATCGTTAATGAACTGCCACAGCAAGCACACCTGATCAAAGTCCTAGTCACCTGAGCTCTTGCTGAAAATTTGTAGTTTTAACAAAAATAACCTTTCCAAAAATGTTTTTGCTGCTTTCTGCCCCACAACTGTAATCATCAAGAAAATCAATTTGCAATTGAGCACAAACATAAAAAAATTGCACAGTGAAGTACAAATGAACAAAGATTGACTTGACAGCGGCAGTTGTCAGTTCCAAAATTTCAAATTAATATTTTAATTAAAAATGTAATGTTTGGTGTAAATTCACAGCAGACTACAGGTTTAATTTTCAATATGTCAATAATTGATAAGTTCACCACTAACCCTTCAAAATGCACAATATAAATTTCCATCTAATGGACCGAATGTACCTGTGAAACAAAACATACTTACAAGCAAGCTGGCTAAAGAACTAAATAACAGGTAAGCTTTGGGCAGCTTGCATCTAGAAACACTTTTGGCAATGTTCTATTGTCAAATACTCATTACTCTTACATGAACTTTCATTCAATTAAAAGAATTCTTCCATTAGTATGAAATATCCAACTGTCTTAACAAAGTGACTAGAAACTCTCAATACCTTTACATACGTGGATCGAGAAACCAATGAACAGAATCCATTGTTAATTATTAGGATATTGGAAGTGTAGAAATGTAAACTTTTTGTTAAGTTCTCATTTCATACGCTACACAAATTTGATGCTATTAAGATGGAAAGAGAAAATTAATTGCTACTAGAAATAATGTCAATGAGATCAGAAAACAAAAACTGCACTTGAGAGGTATATATTATAACCCTTGTTATCCTCACCATTATTCACATTCCCAGTTTCTTGAAAGATTTCCTGTAAGTCAGAATCAGATCAGGAGACCAGAAGGTATCCAGGTTTGGTTATGAGGCTAGAATGTGTCAACTTAAACTCAATCTGCAGCGCTGTGCCAACAGTTACTCGGTATTGTACAGCAGATGTAATCCATCAATTCTAACGCTGTAAAGATTATTTCATCATTGTGGTTTAAAAACAGTTAACTAGTTTGAAAATTGAATCAAATCAAGAGACCAGCAGGAATAGAGGCAAACCTTGAATACTAAAAACCTGACAATTTCCATTATACTCAGTGGGTATTGCCTTTCTCACAAAAACAACTGAGGTTTAACTGTGTAACCATCAAACAATTATCAGGATGTCAATGCTAAGATTATCGTCTTCAGATCATTGCATGCCACATGCACATTTTTAAGAACATGAGTTTGTAGAGGTGATTTTTTTTTTCCTTGTTCTTGTTCTGTGTGTTTTGACTTTCAGCTAAGGTAACCAATTTGCTAATACTTAACACTATCGGCCGAAAAGGAAAGCAAACAATTTAAACCACTTCCATGAACCCACCATTAAAAAGAATAACCTGGAGTGGGCAGTAATCACACTTCAGGAATATCAGTTGTGCGCTACTATAGATAAAATACAACAAAAGATTATCTTTAGTTCAAAGAATAAATGGACACTTTACCAACAGTTTCAGTTGAAAATTGAATCCAAAATTGAAGCAGAAGAGACGATGACTGCATGGTTATTGAATGCTAACAGCTTTTATGCCCTATAAAGGTCATTTGATGAGCAAGAATAGACTCAGAGCAATAAATAGATTTTTCTACTCTTAAGTTTCTCATTAGTTAAATCTCAGACGAAACATACAAGTAAGTAGCATTAAGATATTTTTTATCGTATCTTATTACAATAATTTTGTTCTACTAAAATTCTCACAGCACACGTTGTACAATGGATGAGCAAAATGAATTTCCAATCTATGACTGCTTTACTCCCAGTGACTAACTGTGGACCACTACTTTGTAACACATCAATTTTAATTCTTCAGCATTGGCATCAAACCTTAACTACTTGCACCACTTTAGATCCCAACATCTACATGACATCTGGTATCATCAGAGAGCATATAGGCATAGATCTGTTTTGGCAAATTTAATATTACTAAAATCTGGCTTGGTCATTAGATTCAAGAAAGAGATTGCTGGCTTCTAACCACTTTGGCACCCATTACTTATTTCAGATCTTACTGAAAACCAGCTGATGTCCTATGGTGCTATTCATGCTGAGTTGAAGGATATGCTGTTTCATTACAGAAAAGAAAGAGTTGAAGGGTGATCTAAGGCAGGTCAGATGATCATAAAGGGATTTGACAAGGTAGACATAATTACGTCTGTAGAGAGTACAAAACTAATATAAGGAAGTCATGAAAAAAGAATTCAGGGGAAAAAAACTTCTGCATCTACCAGCATGACTAGAAGGTGGGATTCACTTCAAAAGTTGAAGTGAACAACGTGAATTATTTAAGACAAAACCATGTAAATATGTGAGTGATTAAGCAGGGTGGGAAGGAGACTCAACAGGAGTAAAAACTATATAGACCAGTTAGGTCAAATATATTTTTTTGTGCTGTTAATACTATGTAATATCTACAAAGTGTGACACAGGAAATGCACACTTGGCATAGTTAGACACACTGTAATTAATTTCTTTAAGAGTTTGTTTGCAAACTATAAGTTATGGAGTAATATTTTGAAAAATAATTTTTCCTAGTAACATTAATGCTGTCAATAATGCGAAACTGAGTTAATTTTCAGGGGCTCAGTCAGTCTTTTAATCGCTTTCCATTGTCAAATGAATCCATTTGATCTAAACAATCATTTTTTTCTATTGAAATCGTGGTTACACTTGGTTTTTAAGCAAACTGGTAACTGATAAAACGACAGTAGGCAGCATGGTATCCTGGTAACGAGAAAGTCTTAATGCTTCCCAAATGATAGTTACTAAGCAATTGCCAAAGTTAGACCATCAAGGACAAGACAAATTGGGTTATTATCTGTAAGTAGATCACATTAGGAAAAGTGATTTTAGCTGCTTTAGCCACCTTTGTCTGAACCTTGAACCATAATGAAAAGCTGTGCTTCACATTAATTTGAAATAAAATGAAAGTTTCCTTTTAAGTAGTCTGCACAAAATTTTCTTATTTCTATTTGTATACTGTTCTCACACATCAAAATATGTATTTGGAAACAATCTGTACTCCAAAATCAATTTAAAGAGAAGTTTATTTTTGTTAATTCATGAACTATGGGCAGTGCTGGCTGGGTCAGCATTAATCGCCAATCTCCAGTTGCCTTCAGGAAGGTGGTAGCGAGCTGCTTTCTTCAAGTAATGTAGTCCAATAACCACAACTATCTTCCTTTGTGCTATGTATAATCCAATCAGAGAAGAGTTTACTCCCAAAGCTCCCATTTGCGACAGCTCCTTGGTACCACACTTGGTCAAATACACTCTTCATATCAAGAGAAGTCACTCTGGATTCATTGCCAAATTTAGCTCTTTTGTCCATGGTTGAACCAAGGCTGTAATGAAGTCAAGAGCTGAGGGGTCCTCACGGAATCCGAAAGTCAATGAGCAGGTTATTGCTGAACAAGTGCTCCTTGATATCATTGTTCATGACACCTTCCATTGCTTTATGATGATTGAGAGTGGAGTAACAAGGTGGCAGTTAGTCGAGTGGGATTTGTCCTGCTACTGTATACAGGGCATAACTGGGCAATATCTGACATTGTTGGGTAGATGCCAGTGTTGTAGTTGTACTGGAACAGTTTGACTAAGGTCAAGGCAAGTTCAGGAACACACGACTTCAGTACTGTTGCCAGGATGCTATCAGGGCCAATGGACTTTGCAGTGTCCGGTGATTCCACCACATCTTGATATTACTTGGAGTCAATTGAATTGGCTGAAGACTGGCATCTGTGATGCTGGGGATCTATGAAGGAGACAGAGGTTGATCATCTACTCTGCACATCCAGCAGAAGACTGTTGCAAATATTTTGGCCTTATCTTTTGCACTGTTATGCTGGGAACCGCCATCATTCAGGATGGGGAAGCTTGTTGGGCTCCATCTTCTAGTAAGTTGTTTGATTATTCACCATCGCTCACGACTGTCTCTGGCAGGACTGCTGTACTTAGGTCTGATCTATTTGTGGTAGAATCACTTACTCTATCACTAGCTGTTTGTGCTAATTATCATGTAGTCCTGGATTGCAGCTTCAGCAGT